GACGATAAAGCGGGCGGGCGGCACAAGTGCCGCTTCTGCGCCAAGGTGTTTGGGAGCGACAGCGCCCTGCAGATCCACCTGCGGTCGCACACGGGCGAGCGGCCCTACAAGTGCAACGTCTGTGGCAACCGCTTCACCACCCGTGGCAACCTGAAGGTGCACTTCCACCGGCACCGCGAGAAGTACCCCCACGTCCAGATGAACCCCCACCCCGTGCCCGAGCACCTCGACTACGTCCTCACCGGTACCGGGCTGCCCTATGGCATGTCCGTGCCCCCCGAGAAGGCCGAACCGGGCGAGGAGCCCCCGACCCCGGCCCCTGAGCCCCGCAAGGGCCTCAGCGCCACCGAGAGCCTCACGCTGCTCTCCGGGGCGGCCACCCCCACCGCCCCGCAGGCCCTGCCCGTCTTCAACAAGCTGGTGCTGCTGAAGGCGGCCGAGGGCCGGGCCAAGGGGGACGAGAACACCCCTCCGGGCCGGGAGGCCGAGGCTGCCCGCCTGCCCCTGGGCAAGCTGCCCGGCTGGGCCCTGCTGGCCGGCCACTTCAAGGCGGGCAGCACCGGCTTCCCCTTCCCCTGTCTGCTGGAGCCGCTGGGCGCCTCGCCCTCCGAGACCTCCAAGTTGCAGCAGCTGGTGGAGAAGATCGATCGCCAGGCACCCCCTACGCCCGGGGTGGGGGGCCCCGCGGCGGCGGCCCCCTCGCCCCCAGCCCCTTCATCCTCCTCATCCTTGATGGCCGGCACCTCCCCCGGCGGCGCGGCTGCCCCCAACCAGTGTGTCATCTGCCTGCGGGTGCTGAGCTGCCCCCGGGCCCTGCGGCTGCACTACGGGCAGCACGGTGGGGAGCGCCCCTACCGCTGCAAGGTGTGCGGCCGCGCCTTCTCCACCCGCGGCAACCTGCGGGCACACTGCGTCGGCCACAAGGCCAGCCCGGCCGCCCGCGCCCACAACTCCTGCCCCATCTGCCAGAAGAAGTTCACCAACGCCGTCACCCTGCAGCAGCACGTCCGCATGCACCTCGGCGGGCAGATCCCCAACGGCGCCCTGCTCCCCGAGCCCCCCGCCACCCTCGCAGGGGAGGGACCGCGTCTAGCCCCTGCCCAGCCCCCTGCCGAGGGGCCTGCCCTGCCCCGGGATGAGGAGGAGCTGTCAGAGGAGGAAGATGAAGACGAGGAGGAGGACGACGAGGAGGAAGGCACTGACGAGGACTCGCTGGACAGCGGCGCCGAGAAGCCCCCGGGCGGCTCTGAGGGGGTGTCGAGCCCTGAACGGGAGGCGCTGCCAGCTCCTGCCAAGGAGGAGGAGGAGGAGGATGCTGGGAAGGCGGCAGGGGCAGGGGAGGGCAGTGCCCAGCCCAGCTCCCCTCCCCCGCCTAGGGAGGGATCGCCTCTGCCCCCCACGGGGGACCCCGTCCCCCCGAAGGCTGAGAGGGGAGGAGGAGGGGAAGCAGCAGGAGGCACCGAGGAGGAGAAGGAGGCTGCAGGGGCTGGCGTGGAGGAGCCACGCGCCGGCCGGGCCCAGGAGGGGGCAGTCGTGGCCTGTGGGGTCTGCAAGGAAGCCTTCCCTGACGGGGCCACACTACGCAAGCATGTCCTAGCTGCCCACCACCAGGTAAGGGCACCTGGGGCTGTTCCCACCCCAGCTATTCCCCCTCCCCTCAGGCCCCTCCGTTTGCTGTGGGCACTAACGGGTTACTCCCCCCCGGTGCCATGGCAGGTTCCCCTGGCATGGGGCTGTGGCCCGGCACGGCGCGGCCGGCGCCCTACCCTGGAGGGCCCAGTGCCGGTGCTGGCAGGGGGCACGGCCAAGCTGCAGGACTTCCTCTCGCGAGATGTGCCGGCCCAGTTGGTGGGCGTGGGGCCCCTGTCCTTCTGGAACCAGTATACCGCCTTCGTCTCCGCCGGTGGGCTGGCCTCCAAGCCAGCCCGAGCACCTGCCCTCGCTGCTGCGGCCCCGGCCCTCTATGGGCCCAGCCCGGGCCTCGCGCCCAGCCGGCCAGCTCCTGCCGAGGCCAAGGAGAAGCCCGTTGCTGGTACACTACTGCTGGGACCCCCGGCCCCCAGCGAGCCGGCCCCAGATGGCCAAGGGAAGGCAGAGAAGTAGCCGGCTCAGGAGATAACCCCTAGTAGCCCACTCGGCAGGTAAGGTCCCCTGCCCCCTGTGGACTCTCCCCATCCCTATTTAGCCATGTTCTGGGAGGGGCTTGGTGGGGTCAGAGGTCACTCGCTAAGATGCTTTAGGGGTCAAAGGTTGCTCAAGGGCAGGGGGGTCAGGAGTCAGTGGCATGGAGGTGGGGTCAGAGGTGGCTCCTGGGTGGGTAGAGCTAGAGGTCATTCAGTGGCTTGGGGCCAGGGCTGAGAGGGTGCATGGCTGGATCTGCGGTGGGGGGCCGGTGGTGCACGGGGTGGGGGCTCTGTCCGCTCAAGCCGGGCAGGGGTCAGTGCAGATGTCACATGGGGAGAGGTCAGCATGTGCTTGGCAGGAAGGTAGAGGCCGCTGGGAGGAGGTGGCTCATGGGGTAGGGCTGCAGTTCAGTTCAAGCAGCAAGGTGGAGCCAAATCAGAGGTCACAGGGATGTGGGTTCAGGGCTCGCGCGCCCTGGGCCAGCATCCCTCACCAGGGAAGGGGTCAGGAGGGTGCAGGCGACCGACCTGGCCTTTCCCCCTGCTGGCCCCCTAACCCTGCCTCCCCCTTTCCTCTCTCCGTCTCAGGGGTGGGGTAGGGCTGAAGGTCAGCTCAAGCAGCAAGGTGGAGCCAAATCAGAGGTCACAGGGATGTGGGTTCAGGGCTCGCGCGCCCTGGGCCAGCATCCCTCACCAGGGAAGGGGTCAGGAGGGTGCAGGCGACCGACCTGGCCTTTCCCCCTGCTGGCCCCCTAACCCTGCCTCCCCCTTTCCTCTCTCCGTCTCAGGGGGACGCTGCAGGAGGCCACGAGCTCTGCCGGGGAGACCGGCCCCCGCCTCCGCCCACCACGACATTAGCGGCAGTTTAGTCTTCTACTCTAACCGTAGCACGGAGGGACGGGGCAGGAGGCGAGACCCCTGCGCCGGGGCGGCTCCACCCCTGCCCCCCCCCGTAGCAGAGCGCCCCCTAGTGTAGAGCAGCATCCCGGCCACGCCAGCGGGGAGGAGCCCGGGACTGTGCTGGCCTCGACATTAAAGCAGTTTGACAAATCCCCCGTGGCCGGCTGTGACCCTCGCTGGGGACGGGACGGGGCGGGGGGACGAGGTGGAGACGTGCCACGTGAAGGTGGTATAGGGGTTCACGCGCTCCTATACGCCGCCCCCGAGCCTGTGGCTCCGGCCCCTGCTCTGCTCCCCTCCCCCACTGTTTGCCTGACATGCTTTTGAGCTGCTTAAACCCGGGCCTCCCTGGGAGGCCTCCATGGAGGGAGAGTCCCTGCGCTAATCCCCACACAGCCCTTCCTCCCTCCTTCTCTGGACCCCTGCGCTGCTGCCCTGAGCAGGAAGCAGAGGTGGAGGAGGGAGCAGGGTCATTGCACCCTGAGGTGGGGGAAACTGAGGCCCAGAGCAGTGCCTCCAGGACTGCTTGTCGGGGAAGGACCCAGGAAGCCAGGGTGTGCCACTCTGTGTAGGTGGGCTGCTCCCTAGAAGTGGCTGCATCTTGGGGTGGGGGCTGGGGGCTTGGGGGCACCAGGGGCTGGAGATTTCATGAGGCTGGAACAGGCCTCCTGCTGCCAGTATCCAAAATGGGCTCTTCAGCGTTCAGTGAGATGGGGGGAATGGAGGTGGGCGGAAGGTGATAGGGTACTTGGCGGAATCGCGGCAACTGGGACCGCAAATAGTCACAGACCTCTGGAGACGATGCCCAGTGCCAGTAGCCAACATGAGGGCAAGAGCTTCCTCATGCCAGTACCAGCATGGCTGCTTCCCGCGTCCCTCCCCCCACGTGACGCGGGCCCTGTTGTTTTTTTTTTCTTTTTTTAAATGACTGTGGGCAGTCGCTCTCCGGCCGTCCATTGGACAGGGGAGGAGAAGGGCGGCCTCTGGTGCCAGTAACGAACATGGCTACCCCCACAGTGGTAACAAGTATGGCCGCCCGGAAGAGGCGAGGCCTCTGGTGCCAGTCACTAAAATAGTGGAGGCGGAGGACGAGAGTGCGTGCACACCGCTGAACCCAATTGCTAATACGGCCGCCCGGCTTGCCCATACGAAATATGGCTGACGCCCATGATAAAAATGGCCACTGGGGAGGCGTAAAGCGAAAGCCGTTCAGTAAATAACCATAGGCAGCCGTTACGTAGACACCAAGCGTGCCCACTTCCAAGATGGCTGCCAACAGGCGCACATACCCGTAATCAAAATGGCCGCCGCAAGAGCTAAAGCCGGAAATGTTTCCAGGGGGACAGGTTTTTTCGTGAGCTCAGCTTTGAGTTGACTCCGTCCGTGGCCATTTTGGTTATGGGCATGTGTGTGTCGGGGGTCCATTTTGGAACTGGGCATATCCGCGCACCAGCCGTGCGCCTTTGAATTCCGTCCCCCGCGGCACTTCCGGTTGCCGGGGTGCTGCGGTGTTTGGGGCCCGGGCGGTGCCTGGAGCTGCCGGGACCATGTCGGACACATGGAGCTCCATCCAGGCCCACAAGAAGCAGCTGGACTCGCTGCGGGAGCGGCTGCAGCGGCGGCGGAAGCAGGACCCGTTGGGTGCGACGGTCAAGGAAGGGGCAGCGCTGGGGAGGGGGCGAGGTCAAAGGTCACGGGGAGGACTGGAGTCAGAGGGGGGGGGGCGGCTAGGGTCATAGGAGGGAGGGGGTCAGAGGTCACAGCGACTTCTGGGGGTCCTGGAGCGGTGCAAGGGCAGAGGTTGCTGACCCCCTGCTGCCCCCAGACCCGCGCAACCCGGAGCTGGCGCTGACGCCGCCCTTCCGCAGCGACAGCCCCGTGCTCGCCACCGCGCCCGCACCCAGCGCCGCCGCCGGCGCCCGCGACCGCGACCTGGCCACCGACCCCGAGCTGGAGAAGAAGCTGCTGCACCACCTGGCCGACCTGGGGCTGGCGCTGCCCACCGACGCCGTCGCCATCTGCCTGGCCATCTCCACGGTGCGCTCGGCTGCCCGCTCGCCTTCCCGCCCGTGCTGGGCAGCAGGCCCCGGGACACTGGGGTTTCCTCCCCTGCCACCATTAACCCCAGGCATTAACCCCCCTGCCTGGAGTTGGGATGAGAGCCAGGGGTCCTGGTTCCCCTGCTATGATCACCCCCTGGGGTGAAATGCAGGCAAGCCTGGCCTCCCCACTACATTCACAATGTGGATCCTCTTGTCTCCCTGTGGTTTGGTGACTTCAGACACCCCCTCGTCACTCCCTGGCTGGGTGCAGCCCTGTCCCAACGTGGGGCTGATCCGAACCCCCTCACCCCCCTGCCGGCTGGGGCAGTAACCTTGCCTCCCCTGCCCCCTCCCTCCAGCCAGAGGCACCGGCCACGCCGCGCAGCGTGGAGAGCCTGCTGCAGAAGTTTGCCGCGCAGGAGCTGATTGAGGTGCGCCGGGGGCTGCTGCAGGACGACGAGGAGCAGCCCACTCTGGTCACCTACGCGGACCACTCCAAGCTCTCGGCCATGATAGGTGCCGTGGCCGAGCGCCGGGGCCCTGCTGAAGCCGGGGCCGCCAAGCGCCGCGCGGACCAGGAGGGCGGGGGCGCTGTCTCCTCCCCGGCCGGTGCCACCCCCAGTGCCACAACCAGCGCAGAGCCTGCCAAGGAGCCAGCCAAGAAATCCCGGAAGCAGGCATCAGACCTGGACCTGGAGATTGAGAGCCTGCTCAGCCAGCAGTCCACCAAGGAGCAGCAGAGCAAGAAGGTGCAGGCCCCTGGCTGGGGAGGAGGGATGGGGCAGGAGGTGCTGGATGCCTCAATTCAGCTTCCAGAAGGGCAGTAAGGGCTAGTGAGTTAGAGGAGAAACTGCGAACCAGGACGCCTGGGTTGTATCCCAGCTCTGGGTGAGGAGCGTGGTCTGCGGGGGGTTAGGGCCTGGCACCAGCACACCTGGGTTTTGTCCCAGCTGAGAACAGAGCAAGGGTTTTGTAGGTTAAAGAAGGAAGTGCGGGACAGACAAGACTCCTGAGGTCTTTTCCCAGCTCAGAGTCTGGGGGAAGGCAATAGTGGATTACAGCAGAGGATCTGGAAACCAGGACACCTGGGTTCTACCTTGGCTTTGGCGTGGGACAGGGTCAATTAGAGCAGGGAGCTAATGGCCAGGACTCCTGGGTTCTTTTCATGGCTCTGGAGGGAGGAACCCCCAATATCCAGGGCCCAGCTGACCCCTCCCCGCTGACCACAGGTGAGCCAGGAAATCCTGGAACTGCTGAACACCACCACGGCCAAGGAGCAGTCGATTGTAGAGAAGTTTCGGTCGCGGGGCCGGGCCCAGGTGCAGGAGTTCTGCGACTACGGCACCAAGGAGGAGTGCGTGAAAGCCACGGGCGCTGAGCGGCCCTGTCGCAAGCTGCACTTCCGGTGAGAGACGTGTGCACACGTGTACCTGTGCACACCCGCACACACCCCCCCTCCATCGTGTCCGTTCCTTGCCATGGCTCTGCAGAGAGCAGGGGCAGGGGTTGAGAGCTGGGAGCTCAGCTTCCAAAGTGTGCTGATTGGTAGGGAGGGAGTGTCTGGGCACCCAGATTCCTGGGTCCAGTCCTTACCCCCAGTACCCAGTGGGGTTGCACAAGGGGTAGGACAGGGGCCAGGACATCTGGGTCCCATGCCCACCCACCACCCTGGTCCGCAGGCGCATCATCAACAAGCACACAGACGAGTCGCTGGGCGACTGCTCCTTCCTCAACACCTGCTTCCACATGGACACCTGCAAGTACGTGCACTACGAGATCGACACCTGCGCTGACCCTGGTGCCCCTGGCACCCGCGACCACAACCCTGGCCAGGAGCTGGCTCTGCCGCAAGCTGTGGGTGGCGACGCCAGCGCTGACCGTCTCTTCCCACCCCAGGTGCCCACTGCCTGAGGGGATGCTTGTTGGCAGGGACCTGTAAAACTGGGCAGGGGACGGTTGGGGTGGGAGGCAGAGCACAGGAGTCTGCCCTTACACCTCTCTCCCGGCCCAGTGGATCTGCTGCGACATCCGATACCTGGACGTGAGTATCCTGGGGAAGTTTGCAGTAGTGATGGCTGACCCGCCCTGGGACATCCACATGGAGTTGCCCTATGGGACGCTAACTGACGATGAAATGCGGCGCCTCAACATCCCCGTGCTACAGGACGAGGGCTTCCTCTTCCTCTGGGTCACTGGGAGGTACTGAGGGTCTGACCTGGCTCAGAGGGGTCGTGGGTGTCTCTGATGCAGGTCAAGGGTCTCACTGGGGCTGTCTCCCTCACAGGGCCATGGAGTTGGGACGCGAGTGCCTCAATCTCTGGGGGTGAGTGTGTACAAGTGAATGTGCCCCCACGTGTCCCCCCTCACACCCTTCCCAGCTGACCTCTACCTCCCGCCCCAGGTATGAGCGGGTGGACGAGATCATCTGGGTGAAAACCAACCAGCTGCAGCGGATTATCCGCACAGGGCGTACGGGGCACTGGCTCAACCATGGCAAGGAGCACTGCCTGGTAGGGACTGGGGGCCTGGTGCTGAGCACGGCTACTTGGTGGGTGCAGGGACGGGGTTTGCTGTTGGACCTGGGTCTCCATTGGGCCCCGGCAGCCCGTGCGCCAAGCTCAGCAGCTCTGTCCCCGGCAGGTTGGGGTCAAGGGGAACCCCCAGGGCTTCAACCGGGGCCTGGACTGCGATGTCATTGTAGCAGAGGTGAGTCAGCCGTGCCTGTCCCCTTCATTCCCCACTTTCCATCCAGAACCCCTGCTCAGTGCTGCCCCCTCCCCTTAGGTCCGCTCCACCAGCCACAAGCCCGATGAGATCTATGGCATGATCGAGCGCCTGTCACCTGGCACCCGCAAGATTGAGCTCTTTGGGCGGCCCCACAATGTCCAGCCCAACTGGTGAGTGTCTATGAAATGGGAGAGGCTGCTGGGACCGACTCCTGGGTCCAGCCTGGCAGCAGGGCTGGGACAGGTCCACAGTGTCCTTTCCCCCCTGATGCCCACTCTTGTCCTGGCCAGGATCACCTTGGGGAACCAGCTGGATGGCATCCACTTGCTGGACCCAGACGTGGTAGCCCAGTTCAAGCAACGCTACCCCGACGGTGTCATCTCGAAGCCTAAGAACATGTAGGGGACTGAAGGGGGAATCTTGCTCATGGGGACTGTTTTGTAATAAAAGAGAGGATGGAAAGAGGCACAGGCCATGTTGATGGCTGCAAGGAGCTGGGGGCTGCGCCAGCAGCTGGAGGCTCCCCATGTCCTGTTCCCCCCACTCTGTCCTGCCCCCCAGTGAGACCCTCACACTGGCTCTGTCCCCTCCCACTTTAATCCAAACCAGAACGAACCACACCACTGTCTGCCCCAGTATTCCCCCCAGGCCCTGTTCCCCCCTCCTCTGCTAGTCAGCCCCAGTACTCCCCCCAGGCCCTGTTCCCCCCTCCTCTGCTGCATTCCAGTCCGGCTTCCCATCACGCTGGAGGCCACGTGCAGGCCCCGGCCCTGACCCTGACCCCACAGGACAGGGCTATTTCA